GTCATTCACTCATGTTTACTGCTGAAGGTTTACATTTTATGGTTATACCACAATTTCACTACTTTCCTATTGATGTATATGTGGCTGATTCCACTATTTGCCATATACATTAATGTGCCTGTCTCCTGTGCACACAGGTAAGAAAGCCCCCCAGAGTGGATGATTATGGATGGGTTGGTTGGATGATACATTGTGTGGACTTTAATCATACTAGATAATGATAATATGATTTCCAAAGTGATTGTGGCTATTTAAACTTTTACAATAAATGTGTAACACTTGATGATGTGTTCTGAAAATACTGCGTCGAAGGAATTGAGTTAAAAGTCCCTGTCTTGGCAGTAGAATTACAGCAGGCATTTTCATTCAGACTCTGTTAATAACTTCCTGTTGTTTACTTGTTTCTTATATACCGTGGCATTATACTTTTGGCATATAGATTCAGAAAATGCTTACTTATAGCACAATCACACAGGGTTATTTTATATTTAGGAAAATTTCATAAGAAAAAGGAAAAAATGGAGGAAGGGAGGGAAAGAAGGAGGAGTAGAAGGAAAAGTGAAAGAAGAAAAGAAGGAAGGGGAAAGGGAAGGAAAGGGGAGTGAGAAGGAGGGAGGGTGAGAGGTTGAATGGAAATAGAGAAGAAAAAGAGGGAGGGACGGACAGAAGGAAGGAGAAAGGGAAGGAGCAAAGGAGAAAAGAAACTAAAATAAAGAAAAGAATAGGTGATGAGAAACTAGAAATCCTATGTATGGCTAATATTATCAAAATGGGAGGAAGTAAAATAGATGTAGTTAACCTCTTTGGAATAATGGACATATAAGAGGACTTCATGAGTTATCCGCTACTGTGTAACCAACTACCCCCAAGTTTACTTAAAGCCATGAACATTGACAAACTCAAAAGCATAATACAAATACCAGCAAAATGGTGCCAATGCAGATAGAAGTAGTTGAATAAGCAAAAGGATTTTACAAATTAGAATAAGTAAGAGTACACTGGTGTGCAGATGAAAATGATT